GAGATTAACAGAATGTTTACTGTTGTTCTGCTGCCCTTTTCTTCCTGATTGACGCAACTATATTGAAATTGTCATAAAAATTAAAAGATTGATATTCCGAAAGACTGCTATGAATGAGACCACTCAGGTGTAAGACCTGCTCAAATCTTGTTATTTATGTCATTTTGACTCATTTCTTGAGAAGAAGTTTTCGCTGATGTCACTGAAGGGTGTCTTTCGAAAATTCACTTGCTCTTGCAAACTTTTCCAAGCAATCATCGCCAAGCAATCAGTGGAGTGAATTGAATTGTTGTGATGGGAGACAAGGAGCTCGAAATTGTAGAAAACAAATTTCGTAAATGGAAGCTACGGTAATTAACACTTTGTCGGCTCACATTATCTTGATGAGAGCGCTGTTCACTTCATCCTAATTGAAAACTATAGAAGGAAGCTGAGTTGAGTACTTTATTGGGAGGAGTGCTCAAAAATGCTTCGAATACGTAGTACCATGCAAAAGGCTTTTCATTGCTAGTGATAAACGGATATTTGAGGAAAATTATTAGATAATATCCGTTGAAAAGAACACGAGATAAAGACGAGAAAAATGCACTGAATTCATAGAAGATTAAATCAAACGTTTAATATTTGATAGAAAATCAATAAGAATGGAAAACCGATGAAGGAAATCAAATCAGGCTCACCGTCCACTCTTAGTGATAATCATTTCAGTGCCGAGTTCGTAGAATTTCTCCCACAGTTCAGCTCCTTCTAGTCGGCATTCCATTCCGTCCAGCACATCACCTTTGATGGATTGTCGAGAAGTGCTGCTTGTTGTTTGGATGGTCTCATTGGAGGGTAATTCAGGAGAGAAACAGGGAGAGAGGTCAGATTCTGGAGAGCAGGAACGAGCCTGGAGTAAGGTCTCGATGGAGAATCGAGCGCGCTTCACGCCAAGGCCCATAGTGGTGTCCAAGGCGGCTCCAGAGCAGCTGGGCTGCTCCATCTCCCGTTTCATTCGCGACGGCTCCAGCTCGCGCTTCGCCATTGTGCTACTGATCGACGTGGGCGCGATTGGAGAAGCCGCTAAAATGAGGCGGGGCCAACCAATTGCGACTTGTGCGCGCGCCCACTTTCAACACCGGCGAAAATGTGAAGCAGGTGAAGACGGGTTACGGTAGAAGGGATCGGACTCCGCTGGCTCCAATATTTTCATCCAGAAGAATAGAGATTAGCAAGGAAATTGCCTTGAGTTCAAATATCAGAAGAGATAATCAACAAACTTTTCCCAAAGAAGAATCATGAAGTGAGATCGCTCTAATCTCCAAGATGTGATATTATTGTGTCCGTTGCAGTGATTAGGACGATGTGGATGTGCTTTACTGAAAGTTCGAATCACCACGTGAGAAATGTCGCACCAGCCGCGCGATTCGTCTCGGCCATAATCCCTTGAGTAATCGCAAATAATCCGTTGCAAGACGACGACCGCTTTACCGCCACCGTCAAAACACTTGCCAATTCGCGCCGCTCATCATTGTCTCTCCTAAACACTCCTATGAGGTTTCTTTTTGGCACGCGTGTGACATATGGTAATGGGAAAGGTGGCGAAAATGACGCACTTACAGTGCTCCACACTAAAATAAGACCTCAATGCCCGAAACATGTCGTATACCAGCCGACTACCACTAAAACTCCCCATCGTTATCGTTGACTGCAAAGAATAGGGGCTGAGAAAAACGGCAACGCCGAGATTTTTCAGCGGACCTGCTACTAATTGTCCACATAAATTACGATTCACAATACCTATCACTCAAAATTGGGGCATCGTACTTTCTTCGCTTCTTGAAACGTCACTGTTCGTTCTGCATGGCGCACTGCTGAAAAGTCTTGGACTATCGTATTTTTATGCTAAAATGTTCTACAAGGTACCAGCCCGACTTAGCCCTTTTTCGTCTACCATAGCTACATATAGGATATGCCATGTTTCAATTCAATTCCGATATCCAGTTGATGGCCGTATTAGCATGCACTGAATGGATTTCGTCACTGCTGCTGGCTCAGACGATGGTGAGACAGACGCGATTGTGACGCGATAACGCATTGCGGTTAGTAGGCGACAGCATGATTGAATAGTTCCACTATTCACAGTTGATTGCTATGAGATATGCGCGGCGACGGCGACTAGTATACAAAGGGACAGACGAGTTGCCAGTGTTTCCTCGTTCGTCTATTGGACAGCTTTGAATTTGTAATCTGCAGCGTTAGGTCAGAACAAACGGGTTGTGCTCGCCTCGCGTTGCATGAGTTTGGTGGTTTTGTGTTAATGATGGCACCCACTTGCACATGATGTGATTTACGTACAATACGAATCTCTACGCTACGTCCACGATGACGACGACCTGTTCACGCACGATACGGTAGCCATGACTGCACCTCGTGCGCTTTTTGTCGGCAGAAGGCCGGTGGGGGGTTTACGACCATCCGCACTCAAGAACACCGCGACGAAATGGACGCGATTCTCATAATTGGATGACACCCACACGAGGTCATTACGCCATAAAATATCATTTTATCACCTGATTGTAATTTCATGCGTCAGGACGACACCATGATGACGAAATTGGACATCATGTACACCCCACTTAGTTCGTTCTAGGGACGTCGATGATGAAATCTGGTGTCGAAATTAAGAGAAGATGATTCTTTGTGCCTTTTCAAACCTATCTTTCTTTACTTCCCGATTTCCAATCGATACTACTCACTGTAATCGCAATATCATCTGCTCTTAGCGCTGCCCTGAAATCTGTCCTCACTAAATTCACACATACGACATTTTCACGAAAATGTTGTTTTCGCACAAATATTGTCTTCGAAGTCATACATTTTACATGGTTAGTATGGGACAGCCGCTCTTGGAGTGATTGTAACTACTCGGTAGATTGACTCACGCAGATGATTCTCACATAGTTATCTTGTTCCTCTTTACAATAAGACTTGTTAAAAATATTAAAGTGGGAAATAACTGAGAAAAAATTTTTTGAGCTGGTTTGAGGTTTTATATTCCACATTTGATAAGCCATAGATTGACTCACAAAGAGTTCATAACTTTTGTTCATCGAAATAAACCGCCGGAAAAGTGTGGCTCTTATACAGCCGCTACTGTCACTAATTGAACATATTAAGTAAGCAATTAAATCAGTGGAGGAGCACAAGTAGAAAGAGCAAGTCCACGGGTTAATTTGCATAAGAAGTCAACCTCTCAGAATGTTGATTTATCAAATAAAGCAGATATTTCAATGTAACCGTTACTCTAAACTCTTCAGATTGTCTGATATAACTGTGCGATAGAGTCTTAATAGAAATAGAATTAGTAGATAATTAATTTCAAGTTTGTTGCCTACCATGAATCGCATATATGCCAGTAGATGTAACGCATATATGCTGTGATAGTCAGTAATTGCTACGTGGAGGAGGAGAGAATTGAACGCGAGTATAGAGACCATCTAGTAACTAAGCTGTAAAAGAATGGGCTGTATTCTATTTGATGCACGAAAGTGGTCTTTTTGTACATTCACAAGCAACCGTAACTGTTCATATAACAGCTTGGAACTTGAATCTAAAATAGTTTATTGTCGCTCGCATGTGCTCCACGATGCAGCTTATCCTAAGGCTATGTGCAACACTCCATACAGTACTAGCAAGATAAGCGAATTGAGCAAGTCTAACGTGCTTTATAAACGACTGAAACTCTTCCATTCGCATAATTTACGATGTTACGAGGACAAAAGGTGGTCACCCACATTCACTCACTCTCTACGACTTACATTCGCCTAATTATCTATATTAACGGAGAAAAAGTCTTGTAAATGCGCAAGCTGATTGTTGAACATCCTTAGATAGACGCAAGTAGAATTTTTTACTCATAGGTACCTACAGTATCCGTATTTTGTAGCGCGGTAATATTCTTCAAGCCGCCATGATCCATGTCCATTTGTCACTTTTTCTGCATGCCGCTACGAATTTTACCCCACTCCCATAAAGCGACAATTTGTAAGCTTCGGCGACTGAGTTATCTATTAAAATTATCAAGACAAATAACGTTTACCACCATGCGTTACCTCCGCTTGCAGTGCACTCCTTGTTCTGTCTCAAACCCAACATCTCTTCGCTGAAACGCTGTCTCGGAAGCGCTCTGACAGGCAGACAAATGCTCACAGATTTCGCGGATTTGAGAGCGCTTCAAATCAAACAGCTAATGGTATTACTGAGAAGATTGCGAACACTGATAATGCGAACATCCTCCCTGTCCTCCCGGAGGAGAGGCCGGGATCAGACTCTGTGTTTTCAGCCACGAGCCAAAATATACTAAATCTTCTGAGGATTTTCAGGAAATTAAACACTTTACATCATATTATGTTCTGAATGAACATTACGGGTATCATCTTTGTGTCTCTTATACCTCTCTCTCTCTCTGATACACTTAGATCACGGTGCAAAGCTTTTAGAAATAGAGAGAAATCGCTTGAGCAGAGAAATCATAGGCAAATTTCGATTTATGACTACAAGCCGACCTCCTGTAAAATGCACTGACGAGAGTTACCTCTAGCAATTATTTCGCTGTTTAGTTGGCAGATGCGCTCTATTGTTTCTTCCACTCAATTCACCTTCTGAATGATGAAGAATGGAGTATTGTGTGCTTTATGTTTTTCGATATGATTATTTATCGAAAAAAGCTGCAGTATGTACTTTTATGATATCCAGAAACAATCTCGGTAAGCTCTGCTCCCATGACCATAACTTAATTACACTAATCTATTTCTTCCTGAGATAGATTCATGTGAATCAACAGATTTATCTTACCAAACTAGCTTTAACAGATGATTTTAGAGGGCCAGAAACTCTTTGAAGAACTATTTTTCTTCCGAAGAGAAAGTTTGTTAAGGTAGCATCAGATTGGTATCATTTGGTACTATTATACAATTCATCTAAGAAGAAAAATCAAAAGGACTGGTCGCAAAACTGTGTCCTTAGTGGTGAAGTGGTAGCACGTGCCCCAAGAAGGGTGAAGCGCGGGTTCAACTCCCGCCTGAGGTCGACTTTTTTGTGTGCCCTTCAATTTTATGAAGTGAATATTACTGCATTATAACACTGCTAGAGATCAGTAAAACTAATGAAATATAGGCTATTTGAAAAATTCTTCTGCCCTTGTTTCTTGCCTGTGATCAACAAATCTCGACTATTAATCCATATGCAGAACATCAAGTTCACTTCAAACCCATTCATACGTCGATTATTAAAGTTTTGTATGACACCCATATTATTGAAAAGGATGTTGAAGCTCATAAGATCAACCATTTATCAAAAGAATCACAGCTGCACTATACTGACATCGATTCATTTCTCTTGCAATCAAGAGTAATTAATTCAAACTCTAATCCGAAATTTATAACACATCAATATTTACAAAGTTTGAGAAAAAGGAAGTAAGTAGACTCATTCGAGGTCAGTATTTGTCTCGAATCAATCGTATCTGAACGTTTCAAAATTCTGCGGCGATTTTGATTTCAGCTTGAAAATCTGGTCATTTATCAGCTCGCCACAACCGGATGGATGAGGTGCAGGATGTCCCGGAATGTGGTCGAACCAGCTTTCCTATGTGTACTATTTACTAACGCCTCTAACTGTTAAGCTTTCGTTATCGCATGAATAAATGTCTTCAAACAAAATTGAGATCAATCACTTTCAATCGACTATTTCAAGACCTCACTCAAAATCAGCACCGTTGGTCGGTACATATACTGGCGTATCAGCTGTGAGCCCAGCAAATGGCAATCGACAGCTGCTCACTTTATTCTTGCACCGTACGCTGAGTATAAGTAGATCGGCGTCAAGCCCTCTATATAGGGGATAGATCTCCTAGAAACTGACTGAACTAAAAGACACCGTGTTACTGATGAGGCAGAAAGGCCGAAACACGTAGTAAGCACTTCATAAGTACTATAACAAAACTTCATGAAAAGCTCAAAATATGCTGTAAAAAAATTCATTACTATTTTTATTATTATCAGCTCAAACGACCCATTATCACAGGTTAGTGGTTGGATCTCAGCAACTCTAGTGCTCGTTTCGTTTCTCCCCATTTATCGTCCCAAGGATCTTTGGACAATTTACGTGTTGTCTTCATTGGCGCTTGAGGATTTCGCATTCTTCATACGTGGAATAGTGGACGAGTCAAATCAGCTTGCAGTCTATAAGCTACGCATGCTAAGGCACTCCCTGGTCATTACTAAGGCGTATTGCAGAGCGACGTCGAATCAGATCTTCGTTGCGCGGTAAATTTCTGATAACGTGAATCACTAAACATTCGGCCAACACCTCTACTCGAATATGACACAAGTACGTGCCCGCTATAAGTATACACTTCTAGGTGCGATATTAGTTCAGAGTCTGACAGAAAACTATAGATAACTAAAGGCGACCAATCAAAGGGTTTCTTCTCGTCCCTCTATTTCTCTTTATGATAATCCGCTCTGCTTGAAAAATTGTGAGGATTCACTGATTCAGAAGCAAGTACCGGTGACAGAGCTTAGGATGCGATTCTCCCGCAATGATGGAATCCCAAGAGACCTTGTCGCATTAGCTGAATTGGTGGCATTCACCAGAACAAAACATGAATTTTCGTTTAGTGAATTTGTCATAAAGTTTTTGAGTAAATTTGTCACGTTATGGATATTGCTGCTTTTCTAAGAAGATTTCAGCAAAGGTCATCATCTGAAATTTTGAGGCTGGGTGCCAGTTATTGAATCTATTTGTCTTCTTTCACTCAATATTTCATCAATCGAATCACTGGAAATGAAATCCCAGTAGTTAATGAAGTTTAATAACCTTGAGCTGTCCAGTGACGAATAGCTACCTACTTCCAGCTTCAACGACGAAAATTTTCGAAACGACGAAAGTGATACCGCGTTAAAGAATTAATTTCCGCTTTCGTATATATTAACATATAAATGTGGTACTCGTATAATCCATATACCCATCAATTCTTTGTATACACCAGTTTTCGATTTAATAGTGAAAGATAAATTTTGTCGCGTCAGCAATAACTTGGAGGTTTCCGTTCACTCCAGAAGACAGCCACCTCAGCGCTCGAGTTTCCCGACGAAATCTTACGTAGTCACTCGTTATTCGGCCGCCGGATGGCGTTTCAAATAGAAAGAATGTCAACATGGTTATGTATGTCTTGCCATCCCTGGGGGCGAACAACGGGAACGTGTTAATTCGCCGATTCTGACGAGCGTTTTTGACACGATAGTCACCGCTGGGAGTAAAGAGGCGATGCTAGCCGGGTGACATCTGCAAATGGCGAGGAACTCTCAGTTCTTTTTGAAAACATCTATGAGTCCGAGAATTGCTATCCAGTAAGAAGGACGAAAACTTTTGTGGATTCATCTGGAGGTGGCGATCCTGACCATCATCTCTATCAATTCAAACAAGTCAAAGCAATTTTTTTATCCATTTGATGAGTAAAGCCAACAAAATTTCAACTCAAGTAGTCTTAATGCTATTCAACATCAAAATTGGTAAAATTAATATACCAAATGATTACTTCCTAGGACGAAATTGCATATTCATTTTGATCTTCGAGCACTAAATTTCTAACAGCAATCATGAGTTTCGACATGTTATCAATGCCTTTGAACGTGTCTTTTATTCAAATGTGACAAAACAAAATCTCGCAAATCGCGCATGGTGAGCCTTGGGAAACGTAGAGCTGTGTAAGGGAGGTGTAAATGGGATATTTTTTCCAAGTATATAGTCTTCAGACAGGTTTACATTTACTGAATTTGACTGGATTCCGGTGCCTGCTCCAGAAAAAGGAATAGGCTCGGACAGCAAAATGTGATCAACTTAAGTGGAAGTGACAGTCTCTGCTCCAGTTAATTAAAATATCCAGGTCGCATAATCATTTAATGGCAATAATTCTGACTTTCGTGTATCTACAGATACTCTTTAGGTAACAGATTTATTTGAGAGCTTGCGGATTAGTCATATATTACTATCAGTCAGTCGGATTAGTCATATTTACTGTCATATATTACTTTATCAGCTTTCGTAGTTTTACGGTCCTGATTCCAGCACTTCCAGCAACCGGTTCGTTTCCTTGCATTGACACTTCAGAGTCTCCGAACATTTCGCGTGCTGTTTTAACTACTGCTAAAGAGTTTTGCCTTTTTCATGAATGTTTTAAATGTTGATCAAGTCGAAACTCCTTGCAATCTCGAAGGTATCCGAGCTAAGGAGTTTCTGTGTGGACTGTAAAAGCACTGCGAGAGAGGGCCGACTTAGCGTCTTGCTCGATAATTTACTTCTGATAAGAATAAAGCCCTTGGCGTTGGTCGATCCTTAAGGGATGCGCCATGAATTCGTCCTCATTTTTTGACTTTTTTGAGGTGATTAAATGCATATCTGGCCTTTGCAATAACTCCCGATGGCCTCCCGGTGTATCGAGTCAGTGCTGCTTATCTTCCCACGCTCTTATTTCTGATGTGTACATAATTAAACACCTGGCCACTTTTCTCTACCTTATACATGCTTCTGATAATTGTTTCAAGAATTGGTGATTTCCAAAGAGATTTGAATTTTTATTTTTTTTTTCAAAGTTTCAAAATAGGCGACTTTCAAGCGGTTACAAACCGAACAGCTTTTGTCTCATATTTGTCCAATTCAAATCTGGACAAATAAGGCAAAGTTCCCAGCACTTTCGATTTCGACAAACCTAATGCAAATCCTATAAGCAAAAAGGGTTTCTTGGTAGGCACTATCGAGTCCTATTCAACGAGAAATCTTAGTCGCTTCACGACCAAACGATCTAGTGGCCTTTTCGGGGCATCTATTTGTTTCATCAAATTGTTATTGCCGTCAATGGAGGTGTTATGCTTAGTACATCTGATGCACGAAAATTTCTCTTTCTCTTAAGTGTTGTCTTTTACCGCGACATTTGTACGTAATGTGAGCGACAAATACGTTTTATCTTACAGCTGATCCCATCAAGTATGATGTATGAATGCCTCGTTGCAGTTAGTGACAGAGAATTAACATTTGTAATTACATTCGCATCCAGTACCTTACTGCTGCAATGGCTCAAATAAATCCAAAAGAGTAATAATCTGCAATTTGAACTTAAGGTGTCTCAATAGTTTTATGGATGATTTCTGATTTGAATGGCAGTTGGTGTCAGTAGTGCAACGGGTTAAAGCACGTGCTCTCGGATAGAGTGAGATGTGGGTTCGAGTCCTGCCTGACGCGGAAATTTTGCACATCACTCTACATCAGAGCATGTGTGACTTCATTCTATCGTAAATTTAGAGTCAATATCATTAAGTAAATCATTAACAGTTGTGTATTCTTTGTTAATCAAGCCAGTAGCAAGACGTTGGCAGAGACAAATTTAGAATTAATCATCCAACAATGTCAAATGGTAGGCAAATTCTGATCCTATGACGAGAATAGAACCCGTATTTCAACCTTTTCGAAGGCGAGTGCTAACCAGAAGCACTACCGACGCTCTTGTCATGCTATCACTCTTTTTGCGATGCAATTGCTATTTTACACCTACTACCTATATCTTTTTCCACGCCAGGATGCGATGTAAAGTATACCTGAAAGAATGCTAAGATAGGGTTTATCAATTCCGTAGTGGACTCAAATCAGGACTAATCTTTCGGAGACAGTGCGCGCTCGCACTACACTACCGCACCGTTAGTTCTTCCTTTTTCTCAGGTGCCTTCTTACAATACCGGTTACTAACAAGCCTCATCAACGAGTTCGATCTGTGGCGCACAAAGTGGCATTAAATCCAATTAAGCTTAGTTCATGGTTGAATTCGCAATGCCGACTTCCACCTGCAGTTGACTTATGTTGCCCAGATCAGTTCCAATCAGGAGTGCTGGCTGATAGCAACCGATAGGATTGAAACATCACTCACTCTCACTCACTCTCGGCGTTGATCAATCCCTGATAGATACGCCATGCATTCGTCCTCAATTTTTAACTACGTTTGAGGTGATTGAATGCATACCTGGCCTTTACAATGA